CTTTATTTGTCCCACAATGGGAAAATTCCAATTAAATTCTTAATAATATTATATTATATTAATATTATGTTAATTCTTAATAAATTCCTTAAACAAAAGATTTATGACAGTTCTTCTCTGTGAAAACCTGAATTAAGTTAGTTACTTGTACTTTAATTACTTAGTTTTGGTCAATTATAAGATAAGATAGACTTTATCGATCCCACACTGACACAACAGATAAGAGAAACAGTAGGAAGAAGATAGAAAGTAGAAGTAGAGAAAACACAAGAAAAAATAAATAAGACTGTATGTACGGGGTTATTACAGCTGTTGTATGACAGAGTTGCTGTGCAGACGTAGATCGGGTTACAGCAGGAAGTAGTGGCATGGTGTACAAATAAATCATTGCACAAATATATATAAATATACAGCAGTAACTCAGTGGAAAATATAATCTATATATAGATGTATATCTAAATATGTAACTTATGTGAACTGTACAGTACTATTAGTGCAGGTAGGTGCAAAAAATGTGAATAAAATGATATCTATAGTTTGTTTGATTTTAGTTTATATGTTCTGTCTTTGCATGTCCTGTCCCATATTGGAGTGAATCTGACGTTTTTGTTTAGGTTTTCTTCTTCTCTTTTCTGTTTGTCTGTTTTCTTTGGTTTTATTCTTTGTGTGTTGTGTTTATGACAGAATCTAATCTAACGTGTTTTGGATATATTCCTTTTTCCACTCTTAATTAATTCTGGGGAAAAGAATTAAGCATGTCCTTAACTGATTACTATACAATTTTAGATCAAAAAGAGAAAACAAAATACTCTGAGGTGTTGAAAAGTCACAATATTGTATTTAATATTTATATTAAAATAATACAGACATGTTCATGGTTGCACCAAATTACAGTAACATAATCATAATTTATCAAGTACCATTCACAGTAAATTCAGAAGTGTTGCTGAAATCATGTATGTTAAAAATGACATTCACAAATGCTGTTGTACGAGGAAAACAATGTTGGCACAACCATAAACAGGGTTGGGAGTTTTATGCAACATAGACTTCACATGTAATCTATGAATCAAACCACACATTCATATTTTTTTAAAAGTAATTTATTTTTTGCTCATAAGATTGTGAAACATTACCAAAACTATATGGTTATTCATTCAGCAATTTAAAATATAAAAAAATGAATAACCATCCATATGCAGTGGTTGTTGATCTACAGGGGTGTATGTTTGAGTACATATTACATAATGATACAATCGCTCAGAAGTCTGAGATTGAGCATCAGATCCAATGTCAGTTAACGGGAGTGGATGGAAGTCTTTAATGCACACAGAGCATAGTCAGAGTAATGGTTCAAGATGCTTTACTACAGCACAGAGATGAGTACTGGGCGTGACACGGTGAACCACAGTCAGTCCTGACACAGTTGCAGTAACAGCAGTCTCCTCTCCATCATCCTGTTCACACACCTCTAAGTTGTTTATCTTTTATAGTTGATGTTGGCTTCAACTGGAATGAGAAACAATTACAGTATTAGAGAGGGAGTTATATGGATGCACAATGCAACAATGTACAGGTTTGTGCAAGCATGAACATATATGCGAGTGCAGGTTTCTGGACTAAGTTTGCAGAGAAAAACAGGGAGCCGTTAACACACATAACTCCAGTGTCAGGCTGGTCAGTCCACCACGTTGGTCAAGACTGAAAACACCTCAACAATTATATGAAATTGGTCTTGTTTGTCCTCTGGCGCCACCATGAGGTTCACATTTTGAGCCTCGAGTGAAATCCCTTTTACAATTATTGATTGCCATGAAATTTGGTGCATTTGGATGAATCCTAATTATTTAGGTGATGTCTTGACTGTCCAATTAGTGCCACTATTCTCTCATATCTCACCATTTTCTAGATCAATTGATTCCCATGTAATATGGTACCTTTATTTTTTTGTTTTCATCATATAAAAATTTCAAATGTATCCAATACTCTGTGTTATGACCAAACACCTGCAAAACTAATGACATTCATGTCAGCCTCAACTGCACTTTGTGCTTAATGCTAATTAGATGCTAACGTGCGAAACTAGATGGTGAACATGGTAAACATCAACACCTGCTTAACATCATTATCTACAGCCCCCACAAATATGAAACTGCACGGTGAAACCTGCTATGTGACAGACTGCATCACACAGGATACAGCTTCTCTGTCTGCAGACTCAAGGTGCAAACATCAGCATCATTGCAGCAAAAATCTAGGGAGGATTACGTTATTCGGTGCCACATATTTTAGGCAAATAGTGAGGTTGATTTATTGAAAACAAAGCTGGAGAACAGCTTGTATGAAACTGTGACTCAAACATGCAAAAAGCTCTCACATGACAGGGATGACTAATGTGTGGTTGTGTTTGAATATTAGTAATAATAGAAAGCTCCTACACATCTGTGCACTGCACATTGTTGACATGTTTGCAATATTTTCTAGTCTTGCTTACTGGTGTAATCCTGCGGTGCCATTGGCCTGTGCAGGACCTGTCTGAGGGCGTCCAGCCACTCTCTCTGCTCCCTCTCCTGCTCGCACATGAAGACAAACTGCCGCTCGGGCGTCTCCACCATAACACCACACTTCCACTTGTTTCCCCGAGCATGCTTCGGGACACACTCCTTTACAGAGTAACCTTTGCTCTCTGTGCCGATGAAAATCACCCCTAACTCCTCCGCATCCTACATTCACAAAATAAGCATAAACATTCAAACATAATGGTGGTTACAGTGCTTGATTTTACAGCAATGCACAGCAGAGTGAGCAAGAGGTGTTCCTCACCAACTGGCCTTTGAAGTAAAACAACTTCCTGTTTTGAGAGTCCAAAATAAACCACCTCTTTTTGAATGGTTCCTTTTGCTGTAAAAAAAAACAACACATTTAATCACATGAGTAATTACGGTATAAATTTCAAGATTTCTATTTTTGTTTGTGTATGTAGGAGGAACAGAAACCAAATGTACTGCTACTGTTACAAACAATTATAACTCTAAAGTCCAAGCAAATACGTAATAAATGTACAAATAAATCTTTTGGAAGAACGTGTATCTGTATATGTTTAAATTTAGTTCTAATAACTCACCAGTGGCCCTGTCTTTTCCATGTATCCCTCTTTGAGGTAGTTTCTTGTTATCTTTGGTATCAGCTGACAAAAAGACATTAAGGTACACATGTTGAGCTTTTAAAAATAAAAGCGAAAAGATGCAAGTTTCTGTTCTTATTCCTGCTGACTCTGAAAAAAAAAAACTGCTATTTCTCTGTGGATATTTGAGTGCATCGACATCCAGGAGTTACTGAAATGTGACCAAGACCTGACATTGTGTCAGTTTATCCGGTGTTGAGAAGGTTCGATGCTCACCTCTTCATCGCTACCAGTCGGGTATGCTGTCTTCAGGTATGCATAGCGAGCGGCGCGAATGGCGTTGTACCATGTGACTATCTCCTAGAGTAGAAGAAGAGACCCTGAGCTTCTCCACAGCCCCAAAGCTACTGTATGACTATCAGTATACGACCTGCTGGTTACTGTTATTCATAGTTTGGATGGTAATGCAGTCCCACCTCAGGACTCTCGTGATAAACATAGAGGTTCCTGGTGTGATTGTCGTCTTGGTAGGTGATCTGCAGCCCGTGAGGGTGTCCAATCTTCTCCGGTTGAAAGGTGGCGTTTAGGTCCTTGATGGGGATCACAGCTTTAGGGCCTTTGGACTCCTAGATTACAAATATATAGATGGGCAGTTCAGAGATGGGACAACTGGATTTTATTTAGCATGAAGCTGGTTGTACACCCATTGGCATTGCTCTAGGGTTGTCGGTTGTCATTTAGTCAGTCCACCACTTTAGTCTCGATTGAAAAAACACAATGACTATCGGATGGATGGCCTGCGTTCATGGCCCCTAGAGAAATGAATGCTAATGACTTTGATGACATTTCCTCTAGCGCCACCCACAGGTTGACATTTTTGGTTATTACTGAAATGTCTCACCGACTATTGCATAGATTCCCATGGAATTTGGTACAAAAAATATGAACTGTAATAATTTTAGTGATCCTCTGACCTTTCTTCTTGTACCATCATCAGCTCAAAATTTCATTTTGTCCAGTACTTTGATTTATGACCAAATACTTTCAAAACTAATAACATCACCATCAGCCTTAAATATAATTAAGGTGGAGCACATGATATACCTGCTAAAAAACAACACGCCAGCATTGTCATTGTGAGCATACATTAGCATTTAGCTCAAAGCCACCAAAACTTCAGTTTTTATCTTAAAAACTAGAGCAGTGGCTAACTAACATTGTAAGTGCTCCTTTAAGGAGACAATAAAGTTAAAAGGCTAGTTCCAATCAGAATTAAAACAGCATGTGTTTTGATTTGATCTATTTCCTCCTTACATGACACATTATATATTGAACTTGTGTTCACTTATGTTGTACAGTGCGGTTCAACTGTGTCAGAGCTGCGGGGAACTCACATTTTCCTTGTTGTAGTAAGTCAGGGTAAATTCTCTCTCTGACAGAACAAACTTCCTCTTCAGAAACTGTGTGGTCTCTTTCCCTTTTTTCCACAGCATCCCTTCATAGAAACCTGGATTGAATGCAAAAAACCCACTGAGTCACAGCTGCTTCACTAGATATAAGTCTTACTCAGAAGGAAGACGTTTTGGTCACAAAGCCAAACATTTTTGCAGAGAGTAACAATCAAACCAGTTTTCACTTCCTGACTGTTTCGTTATGCAAAAGAACAAGTTTTTCTTCTTGCACAGTTCTGCATGTGTATGAGGAACCACATTGTCCATAAAAGATTTACACCAACAAGACTGATAAAAATGTATGTTGTACAGTAGATATGTGTGTGTTAGAAAACAGTTTAAACATCACCTGTGGTATATGAAATGGGTGGATACTTAGTTACTCCTGTGAATTCCATCCTTTCATATTTAGCCCGAATCCACTGCTCCCTTAAGACACTGTGGTTCAACGGCAAACACAAAAATGTTCTTAGACACGCACAACACACACAGGTTCGACAGCAACTTGTGAACATGAGCTACAGTGTCACAACAAGTACAGGATTCATTAAGCTTTGATCTTTGAGCAGAAATCCATCCATATTTCACTTCTACAGTCACTAGTTGCACTTCTCTTTATTGTTGCGGCATTGCCCTGTCAGCAGTCTGTGATAACTTAGAATCCCATCATCATTAGCACTAAGGCAGATTTCTGTCAGCATACTTGAGAAATACTTACACACAGTCCTTTTCCTGGGGCCGATAGTAATACGGTGGAACAGCTTTCTCATACAAAGCCTGGGCGCTGACATTTCCATTGGATTTCATGAACTTCCCGGGTTCCCAAAAAGACACACAAAGATTACACACGAACGCGGCTAATTCGTCCTTTTCACCTGAAGTAGGTCATACCTGATCACAGCAATAATATCATTATAAAGCTGTCCATACCTCCACCAGCTCATCCTCCCAGAAGTCCAGCTGTATGGATTTGACCCGGCTGGACAGGCTGCGATGGATGCCAGAGCAGTTCAGACACACAAACACACCCAGTTTGTAGGATGCCCAGTCTGGATCTGAGGTATGCAAGGAAGAGCTGGGATTCAAATGCAACACTTTGCACTGATTGTCCTGCTTGGGGGCCCATTTGTACATTGTATGCCTCTGCTGGAGCATTACAAAGTCCCAGTTTTTGTGTGAAA